GATGTCCATAACATAGTCAGGAATCAGAATTTATATCAAAAGCAGATTTACATTTATATTCCTTTTCAAGTCAATAACAGAAATCAGAATACATACTTAATCTCATATCTGTTAGCGTTAACAGATCACATGCGGGGCATTAAAGATCATACTTGTCAGTCCCATAAAGGAACCTCCAGCTGGGTACGGATAACTTGTCAGTTCCATAAAGGAACCTTCAGACCGAGTACGAATAACTTGTTAGTTCCATAAAGGAACCTTCGACTGGGTACAAATAACTTGTCAGTTCCATAAAGGAACCTTCGAACCGGGAACAGATAACTTACTTGAGCCTTGAATACTTATCAAAATTGGACAATCATTCATAGTACAAACATAACATTTCATAGAACAAATCTTACTCCTTATACACAAAATAAGTAAAATTGAACATAGTTTTACTAAGTTATTACTCACAATTAACAGATGGCTCCAAGGCAACAGACAGAATGGGCAAATTAGACGTCTTGTGGCTCGTGACCTACACAATTACAGAATGAACATATATTGAATTACACACCCAGAAACATTAACTTAATCATTTCTTCTCTTGGTGTGTTTCTACTTCTTATCCTTATTATTGTGTCTTAATTATGGCCTAGGAATGCCTAGGATGCAATGTGGATGCCAAAATGCACTTTAAAACTTTTAACAAAACTTGCTAAAAACAGGGGTCCTGCTCGAGCGCAACTTTCTTCACTTGAGCGGACATGCAAAATGTGTAAGGCCGCTCAAGCGCAACTTCTGTCGCTTGAGCGGTCTATAGACTCTGCAAAAAGTACTGGTTGCTTGATTTTTCCGCTCAATCCTCGCTCGACGCTCGCTCGAGCGTGAGACTTATGTCCTCGCTCAAGCGCAACTTTTGTTGCTCGAGCAATCTACAAAACATGTAAACTTTTGGGAGCTTCATTTCACGCTCGAGCTAACTTTTGGTCGTTCGAGCGGAAGTGCAAGATTACAGAGTGGTCGCTCGAGCGGAGGTTTTGTCGCTCGAGCGGAGATGCAGAATCTGGAATTTCCATATTGCACTCCAAAGTTCAAAACTTGAATTAAACACTTTGAAACTCATTCTTTTGGGCCAAAACTCTAGAAAACATTTAGAAATTTGTAGAATATCATAAATTGAAGATCATTTTGCCAAATAAAGGTCCAAAAGTATGCCAATTACTCAAAACTCAAACTTGAAATTGGAAAAACATGTCATTACATACCATGCATGGAAAGATACAATTTCAAGCTTTCAAAACATGACCAAATGAGGTAAATTAGTAGAAAACAAGATGAATTCTCAATACCAAGTCAAGATAGGCACATACATGTATAACTTGAGTGAAATTCAAATTCAAAATGTTATGATATATGCATGGATGCATGAATTGTTCAATTTTCTTCCTTCCTAGCTCAATTTTTGTTTGGCACAACTTAATCTTCCTTGATTCTTCAAGAAAAAGAATTTAAGGTGACATAAATGAGTTGAATTCTTACCTAAGGCTCAAATTTTTCAAGTAGGAGTTCAATTCCTTTGATTCTTCTTCAATCCTTTACCAAATTAAGCTTGCACACCACTTCTTCTCACTCTCCCTCTCACTTACGTTGGTTGGGTGTGTGTGTGCCTAGGCTCAAAGTTGTGTTGAATTGAAAAAAAGAACTTAGTGGAGGCATATATGGGAGCCTTATATAGGCTTGGTCAATGGTTGTTGATCAACTAATCAATTGGATATTAAATTACTCTAATTTAATCGTTCCAAATCGAATTTTAGTTGAGCCTATCATAAAATTTTAAAAATTCTAATTAACACGGAAATCAAGTCAATTTTGTGATCGGATGTCGATAAGGCCTTCAATTTGCAAAATAGAACAAAATGAGTGACAGATATTCTTACACAGAACAAATTGCAACTCATATAACACATAACACATGTAATGAATGCAAAATTTCATCTTAATTACTTATTAGGCACAATTAATCATGAATTAACGTTAATCAGAGGTCGGGGTTGTTACAGTCTTTCCCCTTTAAAGAGTTTGGTCCTTCAAACTCGAGTTACCTTCATTTCGGAAGAATGTTGGGTCCAATGGATACAAATCCGGATATCTCTTCATCATATCTTTTTTCGTTTCCCATGTGGCGTAAGTTCCTCCGTGGTTTTACCAATTAACTTTTACCAACGGTATTTCTTTGTTCCTCAATATTTTAATCTGGCGATTCATAATTTGAATAAGTCTTTCTTCGTACGTATAATCATCCTTCAGAAGCACATGGGTCTGCTCAATTACATGTAATGGGTCTCTTAATAATCCCAAAGCATAGAGATATGAAAAATGTTGTGTATGTGTTCCATGACCGGTGGTAAGGCTACCCGATACGTCACTGAATTAATCTTCTCAAAGATTTCATATGGTCCAACATATCTTGGTGCCAATTTGCCTTTCACTCCAAACCGTGTCTGGCCTTTCATTGGAGTCACTTTAATAAATATGTGATCCCCGACTTCATATTCTCTGTCTCTTTTTCGGACATCAGCATAACTCTTCTGGCAACTTTGTGCAGTTTTCAGTCTTTCTTGAATCAATTGCACATTTTCAGTGGTTTCTTGCACAAGTTCCGGTCCCAACAAAGGTCGATCACCTACTTCGGCCCAACAAATCGAAGAACGACACTTCCTTCCATACAAGGCTTCATACGGAGCCATACCAATACTCGAATGATAGCTATTGTTTTACACAAACTCAGCCAGTGGTAAATAGGTCTCCCAATTGCCTTGGAAATCTAGGGCACACATTCTAAGCATATCCTCCAAAGTCTGTATCGTTCTTTTTGATTGGTCATCTATCTGTGGGTGATAAGCACTGCTCAATCTCAACTCTGTTCCCAAGGCTTGTTGTAAACTCTGCCAGAATCTTGAAATAAACTTAGGATCTCTGTTGGATACTATGGAAACTGGAACTCCATGCAATTTCACAATCTCATTGACATACACATTAGCCAATCTATCCGCATTATATATAGATTTGACAAGCAAAAAGTGGGCAGATTTAGTTAAACGGTCAACAGTGACCAAAATAGAATCCATACCTCGGGAAGAGCGAGGCAATCCCATAATGAAGTCCATGGTAATGTGCTCTCATTTCCATTTTGGTATTAGAAACGGTTGTAACAAACCAGCGGGTCGTTGATGTTCAGCTTTAACTTGTTGGCAATGTAAATATCTAGCCCCAAAATCTGCAATACACTTTTTCATTCCAGGCCACTAGAAATTCTATTTCAAGTCATGACACATCTTTGTGTTTTCCGGATGCATGGCAAATTTCGAATTGTGAGCCTCAGTTATGATGCGTTTCCTCAAGTCAAAATAATCTGGCACACAAAGGCGACCCTGAAATTTTAACACATTATTCTCAAATACAGACCCGGGCCTTGATTTTGAGTCAATTTCATCCACGATCTTTTTCAAGAATCCATCTTGCAATTGTTTCTCTCTAATTTCTTCAATGATTGCAGGTTGGGTAGAGATAGTGGCTAAGATTCTACCTTGTTCTCGCAATACAACTTCAATCTCATTCTTTTCCAAGTCACATAGCAATTCTTTCTGACCGGTGAGCAAACATGACAAATTTCCCACTGTCTTTCAGCTCAAGGCATCTGCCACAGTATTAGCTTTTTTCGGATGATACAAAATTTGCAAATCATAGTCTTTAATCAACTCTAACCATCTTCTCTGTCTCATGTTCAATTCTTTTTGAGTGAAGAAATATTTGAGGCTTTTATGGTCTGTGTACACTTCATAAGTCACACTATACAGATAATATTGCCAAATTTTCAAAGCAAAAACCACCGCGGTGAGTTCAAGGTCATGGGTCGGATAATTCTTTTCATGAGGACAGAGTTGCCGAGAGGCATAAGCAATTACATTTTCATTTTGTATTAAGACACATCCCAAGCCTTTATAGGAAGCATCACTATAAATCTGAAACCCATTCGTTCCGTTTGGCAAAGTTAGGATTGGTGCAGTTACCAGTCTGGTTTTTAATTCTTGGAAGGCTGACTCCCGTTGATCATTCCAGTCAAACGGTACGTTTTTCTGCATCAACTGTGTCACTGGCATAACACGTTGTTGAGAAATCTTTCACAAATCTTTTGTAGTAACTTGCAAGTCCCAGAAAACTTCTAACTTCTGACACATTAGTCGGTCTTGGCTAGTCCACAATGGCTTCAATTTTCTGAGGGTCAACAAAGATACCATCCTTTCACATTTGGACAATTTTGCATACAGCTTCTTCTCTCTCAAAATTTGTAAAGCAGTTCGCAAATGGTTCTCATGCTCTTCCCTGTTTTTGGAGTAAATCAAGATATCATCAATAAACACAACAACAAATTCATCCAGATATGATTTAAACATCCTGTTCATAAGGTCCATGAAGGCAGCAGATGCATTAGTCACCCCAAACGACATTACTAAAAATTCATAGTGCCCATATCTAGTTTTGAATGCAGTCTTCTCTACATCTTCTGCTTTAACTTTTAAATGGTGATACCCAGACCTAAGGTCTATCTTAGAAAACACTTGTGCTTCCTGCAGTTGGTCGAACAAATTATCTATTCGGGGCAATGGATATTTGTTCTTGACAGTTACCTTGTTCAACTCATGGCAGTCAATACATAGCCTCAAAAATTCGTCTTTCTTCTTAACAAATAGGACTGGAGCCCCCCAAGGTGAGGTACTCGGGCGGATGAATTTCTTGTCTAAAAGTTCTTGGAGTTGGATTTTTTAACTCTTTCAGTTCAGAAGTCGACATTCTATAAGGAGTTTTGGAGATAGGTTGTGTTCCAGGTACTACATCAATAGTAAACTCAATTTCCCTATCAATTAAGTCCCCGAGTAGGTCATTAGGAAACACATCAGGAAATTTACAAACCACAGAAATAGTTTCCATACTTGCATTATCTAAAGACTCAGTCGTTACACAACATAAGTAGCCTCGACACCTTTTCTTAATAATTTCTTAGCTTTCATGAATGAAATCAAGTATGGCGGAGGAACCACCCCATTTCCAGTAAAAACAAGCTCAAGCAAACCAGGTGGTCTAAATATGACGGTTTTATTCACACAATCAATGATGGCACAATATTTCATTAACCAATCCATAGCAAGTATGCAGTCAAAATGATCAATACTCAATGGTAATAAATCAACATACAATGTTGAATCTTCAATCACAACATCACATGTCGGATAAACATAAGCACATATCATAGAACCTCCAGTTGGTGTAGATGCAGACAGTAAACAACTCATAGGTTCTAACGGGCTAGTTAATTTCTGAGAAAAAGCATGCGATACAAATAAATGCGTAGAACCAGAATCTATCAACATATAGACATTTTGAGCACAGATAGAGATTATACTTGACACCACAGATTCGGTATTTTGTACATCTTTAGGCACTAATGCAAATACTCTCTCTTGCCTTAGCATTTCAATCTCGGTATTACCCCTGACATTAGTTCTTGCATTGGTCCTCGTTGTAGGAGCGAATCCGCCTGAACTTGCGGCAGGACGGTTAGCATTCTCAAACCTCAGTGGACAATCCCAAATCATGTGGCCAGTCTTGTCACACCGAAAACACGCACCAGAGGCACGGTGACATAGGCCTTTATGCTTCCTTCCACAATCGGGACAATTGGGAGTAGAGCCACTAGTCTGGCTAGAGCTACTAGAGGATCCCGTATTCTGCCTTTTTGGAAATGATCGGCCCTTCTTGAAGTTGAATTTGGACTGTTTACCTTTCCACTCAGTTGTTGGAGCTAGAGCTTGTCTCTTAGTTGCCAAAATGCCTTCTGCCATCAATGCTCTATCAAAAACTTCTACATGTGTCGGTAATTTCAAGACGCCAACGCGGTCAAACACTTCCAAGTTCAAACCGCCTTCAAATTTTCGTGCCTTCTTGTAATCGGTGTCCACCATGTGTGGGGCAAAACGGGCTAACTCAGTAAACTTGGCCTCATATTCGGTCACTAACATCCTGCCTTGTTTGAGTTCTTGGAATTTTGACACTTTCCGATCTCTGAAGCATTGGGAAAAATACTTGTTGTAGAAAATCTCAATGAACTAAGCCCACGTCATTTTCTCATTGTGGGTTCAGATCAGTAACCACCATCTCCGGGCTTCATCTTTTTGCGTGTAGGTGGCCAAAAGAACTTTTTGTGTTTCGGAGCAAGGAAATACTTAAAATAGTTTCTCTATTTTGAGCAACCATGTTTCTGCTTTTAAGGGTTCAATGCCACCCAAGAAAGTTGACGGCTTCAACTTCATAAATTTCTAAGTCAGGTTGATTACATCATTGTTATCCAGTTCATTTTGTGTTGGTGGAGGCGAAGGGGGTATAGGTTGTTACCTCTGCTGCTGTATTAGTACTTCTGTTAGAGCTACAAGCATTTGTTCCATTCGGCTCATTCGAGCCTCAGATGACTCAGCTGTTCCATCGCTTCTTGTATTTTTCATTTACTATAGGTAAAAAGAGCACCATAAACATAGACACATAGTCCTTATTTTCAATATTCAGGTCATTCATTTCAATTTCATGGGGTCATGGTCAAATTTAGTCTTCACATTTAAAGAACACACACACTTACACATGCAGATGGAATGCCACTACTTCTTACTAGGACATCCTAAGCTTATATGGACTCATGTGTGTGGTAGAACACGTGCTCTGATACCACTCTGTCACGACCCAAACCCGCCCCTATAGGTTTAGCGTCGTAACCAGCCAGTAATCCTTGGATTACCAAAGGCCTCTTAACAGAAAGACATATTATAAAGGGCTACGGAAGCAAATATAGAAATATACATTGTCCATAGAATTGTGTTAACGTATGTGAGACAAAAGCCTTACAACAAACTTATATATATATATATATATATATGTGACGTCATAAATACATTAGTCTTACGTCACCAAAGCCACATATACAGAACTTTCCAAAACATATTCAAACAAGACATAAACATCAGAAGGTATAAAAAAATTCCCAAGACTCAAAAACTTGATTAGATCTCAAAAGGGAATCTCCACGAGAGGCATGATGGCTGGCGGATACCAAAACTCGCCAGGCAGCAACTTAGGCCTGGTCACGCGCCTGCTCACCTACATACATAATAAATAAATAGTGAGTGAGAGCCTAGTGAATAATAACGGAGTAAAGGGTTTTGATGAATGATGATGTCCATAACATAGTCAGAAATCATAATTTATATCAGAAGTAGATTTACATTTACATTCTTTTTCAAGTCAATAACAAAAATTAGAATGCATACTTAATCTTACATCCGTTAGCGCTAACAGATCACATATGGGGCATCGAAGATCAAACTTGTCAGGCCCATAAAGGAACCTCCAGCCGGGTACGGATAACTTGTCAGTTCCATAAAGGAACCTTCAGACCGAGTACGTATAACTTGTTAATTCCATAAAGGAACCTCTAGACCGGGTACGGATAACTTGTCAGTTCCATAAAGGAACCTTCAGACCGAGTACGTATAACTTGTTAATTCCATAAAGGAACCTCTAGACCGGGTACGGATAACTTGTCAGTTCCATAAAGGAACCTTCAGACCGAGTACGTATAACTTGTTAATTCCATAAAGGAACCTCTAGACCGGGTACGGATAACTTGTCAGTTCCATAAAGGAACCTTCAGACCGAGTACGTATAACTTGTTAATTCCATAAAGGAACCTCTAGACCGGGTACGGATAACTTGTCAGTTCCATAAAGGAACCTTCAGACCGAGTACGTATAACTTGTTAATTCCATAAAGGAACCTCTAGACCGGGTACGGATAACTTGTCAGTTCCATAAAGGAACCTTCAGACCGAGTACGTATAACTTGTTAATTCCATAAAGGAACCTCTAGACCGGGTACGGATAACTTGTCAGTTCCATAAAGGAACCTTCAGACCGAGTACGTATAACTTGTTAATTCCATAAAGGAACCTCTAGACCGGGTACGGATAACTTGTCAGTTCCATAAAGGAACCTTCAGACCGAGTACGTATAACTTGTTAATTCCATAAAGGAACCTCTAGACCGGGTACGGATAACTTGTCAGTTCCATAAAGGAACCTTCAGACCGAGTACGTATAACTTGTTAATTCCATAAAGGAACCTCTAGACCGGGTACGGATAACTTGTCAGTTCCATAAAGGAACCTTCAGACCGAGTACGTATAACTTGTTAATTCCATAAAGGAACCTCTAGACCGGGTACGGATAACTTGTCAGTTCCATAAAGGAACCTCCGGCTAGGTACAGATAACTTGTTAGTTCCATAGAGGAACCTCTGGACCTGGAACAGATAACTTACTCGAGCCCCAAATGCTTATCAAAATTGGACAATCATTCATAGTACAAACATAACATTTCATAGAACAGATCTTATTCCTTAAGCAGAAAATAAGTAAAGTTAAACATAGTTTTACTAAGTTATTACTCACAATTAATAGATGGCTCCAAGAAAACAGACAGAATGGGCAAATAAGACGCCTTGTGGCGCGTGACCTACATAGTTACAGAACGAACATATACTGAATTACACACCCGGAAACATTAACTTAATCATTTCTTCTCTTGATGTGTTTCTACTTCTTATCCTCATTGTTATGTCTTAATCATGGCCTAGAAATGCTTAGGATGGCCTAAGCTCAAAGTTGTGTTGAATTGAAGAAAAGAACTTAGTGGAGACATATATGGGAGCCTTATATAGGCTTGGTCCATGATTCTTGATCAACTAATCAATTGGATATTAAATTATTCTAATTTAATCGTACCAAACCGAATTTTAATTGAACCTATCATAAAATTCTAAAAATTCTAATTAACACGGAAATCAAGTCAATTTTGTGATCGGATACCAATAAGGCCTTCAATTCGCAAAATAGAACAAACCAGAGACATATATTCCTACACATAACAGATTACAACTCATATAACACATAACACATGTAATGAATGCAAAATTTCATCTTAATTACTTATTAGGCACAATTAATCATGAACTAATGTTAATTAGAGGTCGGGGTTGTTACACCTATAAACCTCAATAGATGGTGGCCATCGGTGAGTGTAGAAAAAGAAAGACAAGAAGGAAAACGTAATCGGTGAGTATATTAGAAAGAAGAAAAGAAAGAAATAAGACGCGCCTAAAGATTTTTGGGACTGCAGAAAAGATTATGGGACTAAATAGACTACACATCTTTCAAAAATGACATGGGAGTAATTTTTCCTTTTTTTAAAGGAAACACAATTCATATATAAAATTCATACAAAAAATATTACAATTACAAAAATGATATGGTAATATGATTTTGATAAATAAATGCTATCTTTGTGGGTGTTTTATTTCAAAATGAATGGTATTCATTGAGCCACATCATTATGTATTGCTTTTTTGTTTTTTTATATATCGTTACTCTTTTTTAAAAGGTCTTAATTTTTAAGTTAATTTTAAATGCCCAAAAAAAGAAGAAGAAGATAATTACTAGTGAGTTTTACGTCCTAGATTTATTAACTTATACGTCTTTTTTTTTTCCATCAGCAAAATGAAACTTTATTGATGAAGAGAGCAATGCATGCAAGAATCTTACATCAACAAAGTGGGAAGTGCAAAGAGCATCAAACGTTGCCCTTAATAATCCTAGCTAGGTTGGCATCACTAAGGAAGCACAATCATTTGCAAGCACTTGACCCAAGATTGGTGAGAAACCAATCAAGAGGAACCAAAAGAAAGATAGAAAAAAACAAAAAACAGAACAACAAAACTAGTAGTAACAGAGCAACCAACCAGCAGTAGCATACAACATCAGACTTGATTGCTTGTAGAAGGAAAGAAAGATGGTGATAATAGTAATGTATCCTTATGTTGTCGGCAAGGGCTTCTTCAAATGATAATGTAGCATTATTTGCCTTATCAATCCAGCAGTAGGATACCATTATCAGCAACAATATTGTAACATCATCTTCTCTAAACCAGCACCATACCATATAGCGGTACACCAAAACATACAGCAGTAGGATACCAAAAACCAGAGAAAGAATAAAGAAAACAGAACAACAGCTAGAACATCAAACCAGCAGCAATGCACCAAGACATACTAGCACCAAAACATACAGCAGCAGGATACCAAAAACCAGAGAAAGAACAAAGAAAACAGAGCAACAGCCAGAACATCAAACCAGCAGCAATGCACCAAGACAGCAACATCAACTCCCCTGTGTCATACTTTCTATAAACAGTAGCAGACCTACTTCAGATTAAAGATAACATCTTGCACTGAGTACTTAAACTCTTTCAAAAAATAAGAAGCCCACATAGCAACTCTAACCTTTACCAACTCACCCAAATCATTCAAATCTGGTTGTGCCTCATTAAATAAGTACTCGTTCCTGATTTTCCACACTAACCACATAACTGCTAATGGGATTGTCTCCCAAATCTCCATCACCTTTTTTTTTCATGTTTGTATCTGACCACCAATGTAACTGAACCAGGAATAACCCAACTGAAGTTCCACTAATGCACAATATTAGCCCATATTCTCCAGACCATAGGACAGTGAAGTAGAACATGGTTCAGAGACTCCACCTCAGATTTACAAAACACACATAGGGTACTGACATTTGAACTCAACAAACCAATCCTTTGCAAAAACTCTGATGATTTGATCCTATCTCTCTAAGCTAACCAGCTCAAAAATTGTACTTTGGAAGGAGCTAAATTATTCCAAATACTTTCAGTAATAGTAATAGCTGGCCCTTTACATGCTTTCACCCACTTCCAGATTGATGCCACAGTAAAAGCTCTAGAGGAATGAGCTAGCCAAGAGCAAGAGTCTTCAACCCCTTTAGTTAGCCTAGGTGCATTCTACAACAGATCATTAAGTTTCAGCACCTCCTCCTTTTTCCAAG